GACTTACTTAAAAAAAATTGAAACCCAGACATAAAATTGATTAAATTGTTGACAGATGCAAAGATCAATTACAGCATGGTAGAATTACTAGTTTTCATTCTTAAAATATCTCAGTATAGAAATAAGAAAAATTAACAGTCAAGTCAGAGGAGTTGCTGTACTTCAAAGGAAGAGAATCCCTAAATTTCTTTTATTCTCGCCAAACTGGTTGCACAAATTTCATGGTGACACAGTTCCAGCTTCAAGCATCTTAAAACTATGGAGTTCAGTCCCACATGCCTGGTCCTTCTGGATGTTGTTTATCAGACTGGCTTTGAAAGACTCATGGTGTTTTAAATTTTGTATTTAAAAAATTCAAGATGTTATTAATTTTTTTAAAGGTATTTTATTAGAAAACTTTTGAATTATGGACTGTATACCTTACAAAGTATTCATTTTCTAATCACTGTTAAAGCATATAATGCTTAGAATAATTTTTATAATTATCTAAATTAACACTCATTTAAATTTGAGGATAATGGGTTTGTAAGATTTGAGAGGCGTCCAAATGAGCAAATTTATTTCCTAATGTAGTGTTGCATTTTGTAAATGTAAAAAGGGAGGGATAGGCTGTGTAAAGTAAAAAAGGAGCTCTAAGTCTCAATCCCAGGAAGAAAGCATCAGTTAAACATCTTTGAATGGCTAATTTAAATTGATTACTCCATCAAAGAAGTTTTTGAGATCCTAAAAGTCATTTAGCAACTTATGCTTAATGTGAATAGGTTTGTAGAGTTCATTGTCATTGAGGATATMTTACATTTGTTTATCATTCTTCTGGTGGGGCTATTTGTGAATATAATGTTTATTTATTAAATTAATTTAATCTACTCAATCTTTTGTAAATTCTAAACAAGGGTTACTTGTGAATGCTGCACCATCAGCCTCATGTCTTTGGCATAATTTATCTTTACTAATAGAAGTCGAAGTATGGATTTATGCAAGTGATTTGGAAGCTGGGATTAGATGACTTTTCATCAAATTGTATAGACTTTCAGGTAGTGAGTGCTCTCAAAAATRGAAGTATTTTATGCATCCTAGAGAAGTTTAATTGCCTTGAGATCACTCTTAACTGTAAGTGTTCCTCCTTTTTGCTGTTAGGAACCATGTATTTCCTAGGGTCTTATCCTGTCCAATGCCAGTGTTTAAAAAAAAAAAAATTGAGTTATGATTGTCTGTCAGTTTTTATGACCCTGTACAGTAATGAGAAATTTTCCATAATACCCCTTGTCAGACAAATCAAGGGTGAGTCATTAGCTCCAACTTAACATATAAGGGCATCTGAGGTGACAAGATATGTGGGAAAGGGACAAAAAGCTGYAAGAATCCCTGAGAATAGCAAAATCCAGTGGAAATAAAAACTTCTCTCCTAGAGTATATGGTTTGCAGTTTATAATTCCAAAGGRCAGAGCCCTGGCTACAGCGTGAAACTAAAAGCATGGCTTTTGTGCTGCACAGTATGTCCATTRAAAAGTTAGCTAAATTTTATCAAAATCTTTCAAGACTTATTCTAGTTTTTGTTTGCCCTGTTTTTAATCCTGTTAATTAGAGCTTGCATATTTCCAATAACTCACTTCCAGATTATTACATTTGCTGCCAAAATTGCATTGTTCATTAAATTCTCTGTAATATTCRTTCTCCTTAGCAGTTTTAATACAAATAAAATTCTTGCCAGATATTYTTGGACGAGAGAAAATACCACTATTTGGCGTGTCTGTGCCCTTCACAATGTTKTTACAGGCATTCATTTGCAGATACTCACCGGGCTAAACTGCTTTATACCTCCCTCAGATAGATAATGGAAATGTAGGATACAGAGATGTTTGCATAGTAAAAAGCATGTTCTTGTGAGAGGTGGATAATTTTACACCTTTGAAATGGTCACTCTTTGGAGTTTGTATTCCTCAAACCACTGCTAATCACTAAATGATCTATGCTTAACACTATATTTTCAGTCCAGTCGGTGTTTTATTTGAATTATCAAAACAATTTCAGTTTCTCARCTCATGAAACCATATCTCTTAAAACTGAGTCAATTCCTACCTGTAGTATGCTCTTTATTTGTTTTACTTTGTATGTCTGRACTGATAATTAAGTGATAATTTCCAGAGAAAATAAATTACTCTAGTAGCAGAAGTCGGGCTGTATTAAATCATTATATAAACAAATTAATAATGATACAGAATCTCATCTTTACTTTGAATATGTCATTTGCTGACACATGTATAATGCATTTCTTTTTTACATACCACAGGATGCTCATAAAGACTAAGTAGATGATCATCATCAAAACAATGATAAATCTCACACTAATATCTGCTACTCTCATTCAAAGGCACCCTGAAGCACTTTGCAGACTGTTATATATAGGAAAAGAAATTAGGAATAGAAAATTACACTGAGATTTCATCAATATCTCCTGGTAATAATTACAGGATTTGATCAGATTAATTCATCTCCCATTTGGCTATTAATAGGAATATGACACTCTTTGAATTCAATCTTTATTCTCTTGAGGGAATTTTCTTTGGGGAGGAAAAACTTCAGAGGCTTTGTCCACCCTCTTAATGTGCAAAGTCTTTAAATATMATCAGAAGTATTATCACTTGCAGGAATTGAGTGCTTGAGCTGTGATTATTTCTAAGTGTRTTGTATAAAGTCAAGCATAATAATCAGTCTTTGGTTTAAAACTTTTTTTTTTTTATTTTGTCAGCACTGATTAGTATGTCCAGAGGAGCTACAAGCATGTTAGAAAAGCCTAACACAGCCATTCAGTCTCTGAGTCTATTTGTTTTACTGGAACATGTGTGGGCCAAAAATCATCATTATCCTATTTTTGTCAAGAGCAAAAGAACTACCCAGGTTCTGCTGGTGAAAAGGCAACTTATCTCTCTCAACTCTTCGTTCAGCATTCCCAGCCCTCAATAGTTTCAGTGGAGGGCAAGATGCATTTGCTACAATGATGACACAAGTAAATGATTACGAGAAAATAAGGCTATTTCTGAAAAAAAACTCTAACATTTAGCTTTTATTGTCAGAAAATAAGGCTATTTCTGAAAAAAACTCTAACATTTAGCTTTTATTATTTGTATTCACTAAGTGAATAAATAAAATATTAAAATGAGTAAAAAATTGCCAGTAAAGAGATAGAAAATTGTTACTGCTCCTTTTTATTTCCTTTAAAGAAGGTGAAAGCTATTGGTGACAGGAAAACTGCCACACTCTATCATTCTTATTTGGAGCTGAAATATTAGCTGGTTTTGTGAGAGAGGAAGGAAAGAAGAGAAATGCCAATATTTTTCTTTTACCACTCTTTGAAGAATTCCTTATTTTAAATAGATATGTCCAACTTTAAAGTGTTCTGTGAAAGAAAGAAAATCAGCAGAGAAAGGCAGTCTCAGAGGAAAACCTCAGAAAAAGTAAAGTGATGACCTACATTTATCCTCTATTAGAAAGGAGTGGATCCCATGGATGCAGTCCTTAACAGTGATGAAACTTATGTCTGCATACCTGTCTTTGTTATTCACTTTTTTCATTCTTAAATGGGAAGTCCTTTAATCTTTCCTTTCTTATACTGCTTGTCTCCAAATTGATGAAAAGGACGCCTTTGTAAAGGGCATGGCGAGCTGTGGATGAAAAGCAGTATGCTACCAGCCAGCACAATGAGCAGGAGCAGCCTGCCAGGGTTCCTCCTCCCCGYTTTCCTCCTTTTCTATCAATTCCCTGCAGCAGCCTCACCCACACAGCAGCTGGTGCAGCTGTGTCCAGCCAAAGAGGGTTAATGGTCTCAGCAACACAAAGGGTCATGGAACACAAAGGAGCAAGGCAAACTCTCTGAAGGGGAAGAACACACACATTAAATAAAACAGTCACCTGTTACTTRAAAAACTCTGGTAATTAAATCTCTAATTAGTCTCTTCATCACAGAGAACAGACACTAGTTCTAATGAACTGTTGTTCAAAACACTGATGGTTATTTTCTTTATTAATTGAAAGGACATTTTGCCGTCTGTCTCTTCGTAGGGCCAAAATAAGGACGCTGACTTGAGATGCTAGAGGAAAACATTACTGTGCTACTGGAAAGCTCTGAACATTACCACAGATCATGCAGATCCCTGCTGTGCTGCCCAGTTATTAGCAACATAATGAGTCAGATCATGGAGTCATCCAAGTCAGGGATGAAAAAGACTTTCATTTTACTGAAATCATTACAAGTTCTCAGTTATAGTCATACTGTGTGGCTCAGTTAACTTTTCCAGATACTGAWTTCATCCTTCATCCTGTGATATTTTTGAACAAAGGAATTGATTCTTTAGATCAAAAAGTTCCTTACTTTAGATACTCAATTACATGGCAGGATGTAAAGCTAAAAAGAAAGAGGGGACATAAGAGAGAGAGAATAGATGTTTCCTCTTTCTTTCTTTCTTTTGTGTCAGAAAGTAAAGTCTCAATACTATATAAGGGCATTTTTTCAGATATGGATAATTTAAACTTTTATGTGTGTTTATATCAAAAAACAAATAAAACCACAAACAAAACAAAACAGAAAACACAAACCAACAAAAAAATACTACAACCAAAAAGAAGAAAAGAGAAAAAAAGCTGCAAGACAAAGTACCTCATTCAATATTGCTAATTTAATTTTCCACTTAGAAAAAAATAACACACAATGCCAGTTGGTCTCAGCTTCTGAAATAATAAAAGAAAAATATTGTAAYTGTGCCCAGTGATTTTGGCTAGACATGAAAAAAGCACTAGGTTACTTGCTGCAGTTGAAATTAARAGCTCTAAGACATAACTATAATTTGAATTTTAGTGATCTTGCTAACTAAAATGGGGTTTGAGCAGCATGCAATTGTTGCATACCTATTCTTTTGGTGGTTAGATCAGTGAACAATAATAATGATCAAGGAAAATAATCTCATGTTTCACAATCACTTTTTTTTTGTCTCTCTGTAATTCAGGAAAAAAGACACTGGGATGTTGACATACAAAGAGCACCTACCAGTCAGCCAGGTGGTGGTGGGAGACCTTGACCGGCCTGGGTCTGAAGCCAAAGTGTCCGTGGGTCCTGTGCGCTGTCAGGGAGATCGTAAGTTTGGTTTTCTTCCACTTACTCCTGGGTAGAAACCCAGTTTGAAAGGGGTAGCTTTGGAAAAAACCCCATGTGAAGCTGTGGCTSTTCCATGAAAGAATGGTGTGGTTTGAGAAACTTTGTCCATGAAAATACGCATATAATGGTTCATCTTTGCATTTAAAATACCAATATTGGTCTTTATTTTATGGTAAATGTGRAAACTTGGCTTGTTCAACTACATTTGTGTAGATGAGAGGTAACACAGATTGCATAATAATATGTCAACATCTTTGCTTCTGTTGGGTGTTCTAGTCAGTGTCATTATCATTACTATGCTCACAGGATATAAGTGGTAGCATGATGGCAAAATTTTTCACTGTAGTCTGGTTATAGGTACATAACATTTGACAAGATTGTTATCAAGTGTTAACTGTATCAGGACTGGATGTTTCCATGTAAAGCATTGGGAGGTTTTTGTATAGACTCTTCTTTCCAGGCTGAAGGATGATAGAAGGTTTACATCCTCAAATTTGATTTTCTAGTGATAGAGTAAATCACTATCATGTATAAATATCCACTTCACACATACTCAAGGTGGGAATGCAGTGAGGAAAATTGTACTCTTGTTTCAGTCTGGTTTACATTTCAGGAAGTTAAATTCACCACCAAAGACAGAGCAACTGCTTAAGGCCCTTCTAAATCACACTTCAAAAATTTAAAATCTGTGTAATTGACACACATGTTTTATTTGTCCGCTGTGTTTTAAGGCAGTTCTCTTACAATAGGTGAAGGAAGGAAAGGTTGTCTGATTTAATTTAAAACAACTAATATTTGTGTGATCTATAAATAATACAAAACTCATCCACACTAAAGGGTACTATAATTCAGCCTAAAAGATTGAGGTAGTGCAGAAATAATCACATCATGTATTTGATGCTTGTTATTTATAGTGTTTAACCAAACACATGTCAGTCTGTGGTTTGTTATATCTCAGATATGTTTGATTAACATTTTTGTAATAGGCTATTACAACTGATGACAAAAAATAACAAATAGTATTTTTCTGGTGCCTCTATTCCTTATATCCTGAATCTGAGTCCTTCTAGAAACATCAGTCTCTAAACTGAGAGCCATTCCTACATATCAGTATAAATGAAACCTCTTCTGAGCAGTCAATATCCTTTATTAGAGTGACACTGAATGACACAGCCTTTTGGGAAAGTGAATGGATATATTCCTACCATCCTGATTAATTTCATTTCCTCTGTGAACTTTAAAGATACGATTTGTAGTTTTTTTAAATCTTTGCCTATGAATAAATTTGAATTTCCTTCCATGATCATACAATATMGTAAGAAATTTTTCTCACAGGAGATAATATAAACTGCAGTTAGTAAAACCTCCTGTTTTATATTCCCAGTGTATTTACTAGCCATTTCCCTTTGTATTGTTTCTTGAACATATACAACAGGTGCTGTTTCACCTTGTGGAAAACAAGGTTTCTGTTCCTGGGAAAATTCAAAAATTTTAAACTGTGCTTATGTTCCAAATCAGAAGAAAGATCCAGTGTACTAAATTTCTGGGAAARGATTAAAAACAACAACAACAAACCACAAACCAATTGTTTGTTTGGTTTTTTGTATGTGTGCATATTACATGCATCAAAACTAACATGATTAACACTAAAGGTGTTGACTGTCATCACGTCACAGCTCATCAGTTCAGTTCAGTTCAGTTGCMTGTGTAAATGAAATTCAGTTACAGTTATGAAGACTGTAAAAGAAATACAGATTTTTGTTCTACTTGCAAAGAAGGTGAAAAAAGTAAGAATGCCTAACCAGTCAAATAAAAATTTGCCTATTTAGAATTTCTCATTTTGGTTGCAGCCAATATTGTGACAACTTATCTCGTCTTGCCCTGAGGGTTTTCCATGCTATGTGTTGTATCAACCCACAGTCTAATGATATTTTGCAGCACATTAAGACATATTTTGCCATCAGAATCACAGTATAATTTGCCACACACTTCATCGCTTCCTCTACATAACAAGTAGTGACAGTCACATGTCACCTAGGCCAATTCACAGCTGTACCTGGTACAGACTCAGATCTGACAGCTTTTGCAGTCCTTAAGAAGAGACATCTGAAAGCTTACTCTCTGAGGGCACAGAGGATTAAAGAAAGCAAAGATATCTGTCATTTCATGCAGTTCACTTCCTCCCATGCTCATCAAATTCTCAAGAACCCATTAATCAGTGGAGGCCAAACCAATTAACTGCTCCTACACTATTGACTGACCAAAGTAAATCTGAAAAACATCCATCTCAGTGCAATTTGTTTTAACACAAACCAAGAAGACCGCAGAATCATAACTGTTTTCCTGTTGCAAAAATAACTAAATTCTTCTTTCAGAAATATAGGTTTTATTTTGGTCCCACAGATGACAATTTCATTTTTCTTTTTGCCTGATTTATTACCTGATTAAAGCTGTTCTGAGCAATCTTGAAAAGTGGCTATTGTTGGAGATAACAATCAGAAAACTTGTTTATGCATGATTACTCATCTTTGTGTTCCAGAAGTATTTTTCATATTTAACTGCACCTCACAAAACACTACTTGCATYCTGAAAAGTAGTCAGCAAAAAAGGCTTTTATTACCCCTCTAAAGATTTGCTTAACCTGCCATATTCGACCAGAATGATGAAGACTCATCTAGTCACTGTGGCAAAAACCTCATAAATCTGGTCCAGGGCCTGTTTAGTACCTTTTATTAAATACCCAGGATGCCTCTTTCTTATTTTCTATTTTAGTGTTGAGGAATGCTTTCTAAATATCTAATGATTTTTCTAAGTGTCTATCTACCAGGGAAGCAAACTTATCCAATTTAATGGAGAAGAAAGAGGTGCATAAACAGGAGGTGATTTGGTGTTGGGTTTTGACACTGTTGCAATGATTCCAAGCTCAAGCAGAATTTTCAGCAAAAGTCAACTCTATGCAGACTTAAAGCAAAGCTGTCCTTCCTGACCACTGCTGTGTGAGGGGTGTACTTGCAGAATGACAGAGGCAGTCTATCAGCACATTCTCAATACCCTCTTAGCTGATCTGGAATTAACAGTGCAAACAAAGGAAATCAGTCCTTAGACTCCRTAGTAATACTGGATAAGGGAACTACTCTGCTTTCCCTCAAGTGAAAGAGTTCTGTGAAGGATCTAGGAAAAAAAAGACACTATAGAACCACAAATTAATACTTTTCWTTCTTCAGCTGACATATTGAGCTAYTGATTAAAATCCCTTTATAAACCTCTCACAGTTTTTCTAACACTTATGCTACAGTAGCTGGAGTTCTCAGCTGCTCTGCATTCAGCCTTGGCCAACCAGTAATTGAAAGACGTTGTCCATCTCTTAATGCTATTTCACTGTAATGCAAAGGGGCACCTTGAGCCTTCTCCCTTTAGAGAGCACTTTTTTCTGTCTAAGCTCAGCCTGAGGTGGTAGATCAAGGTTTCAAAAGCAGTTCYGGTAATTTCTTTTGAAACCAAACTKAAGAGCTTAGCTGGCTATGGTGGGGCTATTGCTACAGAGATTTCATCAATAATCATATTGAATCAAAATTACTTTTGTGGCTTCTGGCACCTTCTCAAGAATTTTTTTTCATTCCCCCCAGGAAAATACCAGTTTTCACAAAGCTTCTATATTTGCCACCTGCTAAGARCATCCTTTTCCCAAGGATTTCCAAGGATTTGGATTCAAGTTTGCTCTTTTTAAGCCCWGAGGGGAATAGACTGACTATTCTGCTCTAGATTTGCTTTTCTCCTTGAGTCTATTTTCCTTTTGTTCCATTTCCTCTATAGAAAAGACAGAATTTAAGGGGGAGATGTTTTTTACACAGCTCAGATTTATGTTTTTTCCATCTGCTCTGCTGTACAGTTTTTATCCTCCCAGTATGACTTTGATTTCTGAGCCATGAATCATTTTCTTGTGTATTACTTCTATTATCTGTAATCTTCAAAACGTGGAGGAGGAATCTGCTGCATTGACTGTGGTTCTTTCTAAGCTGAGTTTTCATGAAGACYAGAATCAGCAGTGTGCTTGTAGAATCTGCACAAGATTCTACACAGACAGAAAACATTCTTTCTGCACAGACAGAAAACATCCCCTTGGCAGATAACAGAAGTTCAGGAACAAATCAAAACTCACTTCTCCATCTGTGCATTGGCTTTGTTTGTGCATGTGTGAGTATGATTGTGCATGTGTGTTCTCAGGGGAAGTATACCTTGAGTTCTTTTTTTTTCAGTAATTTGGTCATGGCTCATCATTTCTCCTTTCATGACTTGAGGCTTCATTTCTTTAAGTTTTAATATCATTTCTGGCTTTACTCCTTTTAGAATGTTCCAACAGATTTTATTCAGTTGTTTTTTTCAGATGGTGGCATGAGCATGGACCTTTTTCTTGTGGCTCTGGGTTTATACTAAAACCATTCTGTAGTTGTCTAAACCAGACAGCCACTGCCAGGGTCAGTGCTTACAGACTGGTATCCTTGGTAAAGTAAACTGGAGAGTATCCCAGGGAAAAACAAAAAACAAATAAGCAGAAAAAAAACCCAACCTATTTGAATTATTGCAAGTTCTATCTGTAACTGAGTCCTCTACTGGAAGTAGAGACAATTTACTTTAATCTACTCTATCTTAGACAATATTCCAGTAATGTAGTGACTTACAGGTTAATGGAAATGAAAACATTCTATCAAATAAAAATTAACATCAGTGAAACCCCCTACCAAAAAAMAAAACCCAGCAAGAGTGCTTTCAAGAAAATACAAAAATTTGTCTTTTGAAACTCTTGAAGCAATGATTCTGCTGGAGGCTTGTGTGATTGCATATCTGAAATTTAGGTAATTCCCATCTGAGGTGTTAATTACGTCTCTGCTAGTAAGGCTAGAAAACTAATAAAAATCTCTGGATTTTTCTACATTTTTCTTTTTCTTTTTCTTATATTGCTAGATATATCTACATATTTT